TGGACCTGAGGTCACGCACCGCCTGGCGGCAGCGGCCCGGGCGCGGACGTGGACCAGCCAGCCCCATCTGGAAGCTAGTGATTTTGTTGTTGTCTCACTGCGCTCAACAACAAGTCCCAGTCTGCCTCATGGTGCCGGCTACCGCAGCCTGGGAGCGGGACTGGGGCTGGCTCGGCCCGTGCGCCCTTTGGGGCTCTCCTTCCCGAGTGCCTTTCTGTGCTTTCTCTGTCCTCTAGAAAGCACCCCTGGAAACTATCCTGAACAGCTCCCTGGGCAGCACACCTCAGGCAAACTCTTGCAGAAACAAGGACAGACTACAGTGTGGAGGAGGGGAGCATGAGGGTGGGAGGGGTGGACAGGGTCTCAGTCCTCCGGGAGCGGTGGGCTGCTTCCATACCACTAACAATGAGGTGGGGGGCGGGAGAGAGAATCCCTCTCACTGTCACTCACCGACTCACCCAACAGGCTTTTCTGATTGGGTTCCCTAAGTCCGCAGTACCTCCCACCCCGGGACCTGAGGTTTGATTGTTTTTGGCAGGAGACAGCCAGGGTGTGTGCCAGGCTAGGGGTTGGGGGTGGGGCAGGAAGGGGCATGCGTCCATGACCACGGTGCCTGCCATGCTTGGTGCCCTGGCAGCCACCTGAGGACATGCCTGATTCTGGGCAGCCTGGACCTTGCCTCGCCGACCCCAAGGTTGAGAGAGTGGACTTGACTGTATAGAACTTCTTCGTGGCCCCAGAATCTGCCAGTCAGTGCTGCTGGGCCCAGCGGTGTCACCAAAACTGGGCTGAGGAAGCCCAGTCCTCCAACTGACCTTGGGGCCACCCCACCAAGATGGCAGAAGCACTGATCTTGAAAACCACTTCCCAGCCTGCCTCCATGCCTCTGGGGGGCGGGGGGCACTTTGCCCTAGCATGGTCTCCAAGTCCCAATGATGAGACCCTCAGTGGAGACAAATTTTTCAAGCAACAAACTCGAATGCTCTCCCCAGTGTTTTCTACTGTATTCCCACCCTGGAGAAGGAGGCATTCCTGGGACCCTTGCACCACAGAAGGGAAGGGTTGGTCAGCCGCCTTGGGAGGCAGAAAAGACTGGGAAAGTCTTTTTTCTTCTTTAGAATACTAAAACATCTCACTAAGTTTGGTTGGGAATTTTACTCCTTTAGGGAGCCCTAAAAAAACGCAACCATTGCTGAGCTCACCCTGCCTCTTCCGCTTGCTGGCTGTGTGACCTTTGGCAAGGTACTTAACCTCTCTGATCCAATCAGTCATTCACTTCCATTCAGAGGCTGCTTCTATCACTGTTTCAGCTGCTCTTTCAGCTCCTCCAAACTGATTCTCTTCTTCCCCATTTCCTGCTTCTTAAATTTCTCTTTACTCCAATTCTGCCTAAAGCCAGTGGGCAGCCAGTCCTACTAGAAATCTCATTTTCACTTGAGAAGGCTGCAAATTGGTGTCACTCAGCAGGTGCTGGCCCTTCACTGGAGGAAAGGGGCCTGGATTGGGCCAGAAGGGTCAGCACTGGGGAACAACGGGAGGGAAGGGGAGTCAAATCTCTCCTAGACAGTCTTCAGTATCCAGGGCTGCTGTGGAGACAGAAGGGAAAGAGATCTTGCCTCAGTGAAATAAACATCTGGGGAGTGGGGAGGGATTCCTGGCTTTGAAGTCAGACATATCCCAGTTCCAATCCTGGCTGCATCACTTACTAGCTGTGTGACTTTGAGGCAGTTACTTAACATCTCTGAGCCTCAGATTCCTTTTTCATAAAATGGAATTGATCACATCTACCTTGCTAGGTTGCTAAGATAATTAATCAAAAGTGTCATAATATATAATGGCACATGTAAACACTCAGTTGTAGTATCTTGGGCCTCCTCTTTCATAGTTTTTCTCTTCCCTGATCTGGGGCACCCACATGTCCTCTTCCCTGAAGACGGAACAAATGAGAACCACCTTCTCTCTATCAGTCTCTCTCATCACATAGAAGTTTTATCCCATTTAAATGTTTATCCTTCCCCTCCCAGATCAATATCTTGTCCATTTCAAGAGGCTCCATATATATTTAAAGAATGACTATAGATCAAGTCTTTCCCTCCTACCCCCTCGTACCTCCCCTTTTTAAAAATTCAGAAACCAAGTCTTATGTTGTATGATCTACCTCTAAGTCACTCAGCAAGATAGACTGCTTACTACTTGTTAAGGTAACTTTCTAGGATCCTCAGAACACAAAAGGGTTGGTGATCCAAGGGTCAGCCATCTGAGTCCCCCTACCTTAACTGCATGTCCCAGTTTATGCAGCCAGCAGCCAGGCCTCTTGCGTCCACGTCTCCCCTGATGAACAGGGAGGCAGCGCCCTCTGCTGGATCCTCTAGGTAGCTGCTCTCTAGCGCCCGTTCTCAGGCCTCCCTACCAGCTAGAATCACCTGGTGAGCTTTATATAACTCTATGTTCAGGTCACACTGCAGACCAGTTAAACCAGAAATCTTGGGGTGTGACCCGAGTGTCAGTATTTTTTAAATCTCTGCAGGCGATTCCAATGTTCAGCCAAGATGGAGGAATAATTGCAGATTAATTTTCTATGTGAAGAAACTGTAGTCTAGAATGGAAAAAGTAACAGTGTAGAATGAAATTCCCCTGGATCAAATCTGGCCAGTTTTCCGTACAAAATTAGTCATGTGAGACTTGACATGGGTCTAAAAGCCCTGGAAAATCTCAGGAGTTGGGGGAAGGTGTAAAAGTATCATAAATGTCATGGCGATAGGCTGTGTCCAGGTAGGTCCAAAGTCAGTGTTGGATCAAGGGCGCTAATAGAGGGGGAATCTCCTTGAATATAATGAGTAAATCATCTACCTTGGCTCCCAGAATTGCGTCATCTTCACACCTTATAATACATCAGATTTTAAACTTGAGAGTGCATCAAGAAGCTGTTACTTAGCTTATTAAAACAGAGATTGCCAGGCCCCACCCACCCCTGAGTTTCTGAGTCAGTAGGTCCAACACATTTCCAGGGGATGCCTAGGCTGCTGGTTTAGGACCACACTTAGGGAAGCGCTGCTATAAAAAATGACCAAAAATGATCAGTATCTGCCTTTATTTCTGTACCTGGTCCAGCAGCATGGGAATCCCCACAGCATCCCAAATAGTCCTCAAAACAGGCACACCAGGAAGGCAGAATGGTGCCTGGAACGTGGCATAATGATTTTAAGTGCAAGCACATGTCAAGTCCTCTGTACTCAAGTGCTTCCGGATTGACAATGTGGAGGGAGAAAGGGTGGGGTCCCTGGAGGCCGGGCTTGGATCATGGGCTTTCCCTCACCAAGCCCCAGCTTCAAGGGATCTGTTATAGAGAAGCACCAGTCTTTGTGGAAGAAGATAGTTTCACTTCAGGCATCAGAAGTTGAGGTCCCTAAAGCTTGAGGTTGGAGCTACTGCAATTCACAAGTGAAGATGCCAACATTGGGTTATCCATATTGCGTACGTGTGGACCTTCAACTTTTTTGCTTGATCATATTTTTTATCATAAGTCTCAATAGTTACAAAGGATATATTGTAAATACCAACGTCCTTAAAAATAAATGTACCCGAGGTGGGTGAGGAAGAAAAAAAATGTGTCCATAAATGAATGCAGTGGAGTCTAAATATCCTAGCAATTTGATAACAACATTAGCCATTTTTAAAGTACATGAAACAACTATTACTGACAATGTTAAATTTTACCTGCACCCTGTGCACTTGGAAAAGAGGAATGGTGAACAAATTTCCCCCATTATTTTGTGTTTCAGAAGCAACTTACTGCGAAGAAACACCCTGCCCCATAAGACCAAGAAAAGACACCTGGGTTCCCCCATTGTGTATCTTTGATGAGGTATGGACATTCCAAATTCCCATTCTTTGCTTCTTTGGTGATTAGCTGAACTGGTGGGCTCACAGATCAATTGGAATAAAACGCTGTTTAACCAAACTTTGGTTAAGCTTTTTTCTTCCCCCTGGTCCCTGAACTATGGCCCACCCTCAACCAGAGCCAGTTTACAATCCTTCCTTAATGACCTCTCCAGGGAACAGGCTGGCCTCAGGGTAAAACAATCTCCATATCTAATATCTGATCTGATCACTTGGCTTCCACATCCTAGCCTTTCTAGCCTTGATTACTCCCCCCTATAAAAGAAAACCTTTTCTGCTAGCTACCTTTGAGAACTAAAAGAGCATTCTCCATACTGCAATAAATCTGCCTCCTCCCACCCAGTCCTTTCAAATAAAATCTCTGCTTACTAAATCTGGATTTATTTTTCATTGACATTATTTGTTTTTATTTACATTTCACATTACATTTACATGCAATATTCTTTTTACTTTTTGAACTTACATTTTCATTCAGCTTCTGCTATGGAGCTTTATCCTAGCATAATATATCTTCCTGCTTGGCAATATTTGCTGCAGAATCCAATCCTACATCTTTTTTCATCAAATAATTCTTTGCAGTTTTTTTTGTGTGTGGGGGGTAATTAGGTTTATTTATATGTTTGTTTGTTTGTTTGTTTTAATGGAGATGCTGGGGATCGAACCCAGGACCTGATGTATGCTAAGCATGTGCTCTGCCACTGAGCTATACCCTCCCCCTGTCATACTTTTTTGTCACCAAATTTTACACATATATATATATATAATTTAACTTGTTCACTCTAGAAAAATGTCCTGGGACCCATAAGGCTCCAAGTATTATTTTTTTTGCCTTCTGGATTAAGATATTGTTATAATTATTTGTATTACATGTGAGCAAACAATAAACACACAGCATTTCATTATATGAGCACTAACCTTTAAGCATAAAAAATAAATTTTCATTAGAAGTGCCATTGAAATTATGTCTCTTCTGGAGATAGATTAAGCCAGTTACTTTTCTATTAAGTTTATAAATCTGGGGACGAATATCACTTTTTGCAAGAATGAGACAGAGTTGGGCCTTCTGCTTTGTTTTATGGGTGTGAGCACTGATAAACATTGTTCACATAAAAAACAGAAGTGGAAGGAGGTTTATTCTGGCAATGTCTCTCAGTTCTTCTAATTTCTGATAATTGTCTAGTCTCAAAAAAAATTTTAATGACCTATTAGCTGACAAAATGATTAAATCCTCCTTGAGTCATAGTGAAAGCAAAGAACTAGAAACTAGACTTGTAGAAGGATTTCTTGCCCAGTTCTCAATAACAACCCATATTTTGAACAGCCTTATTTTCCTTCTTCTCTGGAGACTATTTTTATTTCCCAGGGTAATGCAACAAAGCAAGATTTAGAATGGTTGTGTGTGTGTAACTTTCCTTTGTAAAATGGGAGACAGCTGATTGTAAAAGAGGAGAGGGCAGTTGGACCCCAAGGACTCGAGGCACATTCCCAGGTCTAGTCCTACGGGAGAGGACAATCTGATTATTGGCTCTCTTAAAAACCCTCTTTGCCCCCAGAGTTATCTCTCACAGAGTCTCCAGATCTGAATACAGCTGCTCTCCATTCTCTTCCCTTCTGCTCTCTTTCCCTCAGCGTTTCCTCCTAAGAAGCTCTGGAATCTGTCCCAAGCTCTTTATCCTCTCCACCACTCTGGCCACCAGGATCTTATCCTGCCTGAATGTCCACAATCACTCCCCTCCACCCCTCTTTCTCCTGGGGGGATCATTCCTCTGTTACTGCAGCCAGAGTGAACTCCTCCCAATGCAAATCGCTGGTGAACCAGCTCTGGCTTCAACTCTTTCCAGCTTCCCCAAACTTTCAGGAGTCTGAGTAGAAGGACTGATTTTCTCTAGTGGCTTTATCCTTTGTCCTATTACCCTCAAATCTGTACCCTGGTCAGAAATAGCCTATTTCTGGACACACATACCCCTGGTCTTCTGAGTACTTTTGAGATGCCACTACTGCTTGCAAAATGGAGCTAGAAGGAAACTGACTGCCTCGATAAGGGTCTTTGGATCCTAGCTATTTCTCCTTAATTTTTTTAAATGTCAATTTCTTTCATTGTAAAACAGGAATAATAACGGTACATATCTCAAAGTATTCGTCTGATTAAATGGTTATGTTGCCCAGCATACTGTTAGTACTCATATAATAAATGCGAACTGTTTATTATTTTTTGTTGTTATTCACGTTGCACTAAGTTGTCTGTTAGTCTCTGTTACTGTGCAGACCATGAGCAATCAAGGTCCCCAGTGATTGTGCTTATTCTGTGTATCCCAATGCCGAGCCCATAATAGGAAGCTATTTTTTATGAGTAAAGTATTGCAAAAGGATAAATGAAAAAATAGCGCCGAAGGAGCAAACTTGACTTAAAAAAAAATCTTTCTTTAGTGCCCATCATGTATATTATTTCACTGAAATCCCCTCGACCCTCCAGGAGGTAGGGGGTATTATTTCCATTCTACAAATGTGGGTGTGTACGCTGTAAGTCATTCTGCCTTTAGGGCACGGAGCTCACAGGAGCCCACATCCCGACCCAGGGAGCGGGATGGACTGGAACCTGGGGACACAGATGAGAGCCGAACCGGGAGAGAGGAGGCCAAGCGCCTCACCAGTCTCTTTAACATTTCCCGCGGGCTTGGAGGTCCTGTGGCACCAACCACGCCCCTTTGGGAGTCCCCGCCCCCCTACTCCCAAGCGCCAACCGGCAGCTAGCCAGGCTCCCGGCCAATCAGAAGAGGTCCTAGGCGGGCGCTGCCATTCAGCGAGCCAATAGGCGGGCGACCGGAGCGGGGCTTGCCCGGGCATGTGGGAGCTGCGGGCTGCCTGGACGCCACGTGCGAGCGTGAGGAGAAT